CTTAATGATTGTAATAAGGTTCTATTTATCGCTGGAGACTTTAATATAGAATTGGAAGAGGAGAATAAGATAAAATCAGATTTGCTAACACTGACTCATTATTTTAATATTCACAAAACAATAAATGACTAGACACGTATAATTCCAACCACAAAGAGTTGTATACACAACATACTTACAAATTATACAGAACTTATGAGGCAAAAGTTATAGACATTCACACTTCTGATCACAAAGCTCAAATATTAACGTGGAAAATGGCAAATAAAAAGTGCATCATCATACTTTTAAAAGAATTTTCTCTAAAGCTAAGATAATCGAATTTAGTAACAAACTCAATACATTAACGTGGGATGAAGTATATTACTTAGATAGATCAGAGGTTGATCAACAATGGAATACTTTTATGAAAAATTTCATGATATTGTTTAATGAAAATTTTCCGATTAGGTCTGTTAGTACTAGGAATAAGAATATTAAATATTTCAACAATAATGAAATTGCTGAATGGAAACTCACTTTGGATGCCATGTTAATTTTATATGTAAATAATAAAGTAAGTCGGCACCAATATAATAAGGTGAAAAAAGAATATGATAATCGCTTGAGAAAATTTAAAGAAGAATAAAGACTTCTGATAATAAAAATAAATGTATGTGGACAATATGCTCGGAACTAACAGGAAGAGAAAAAATATCCGAATGTTCCAGAATTAATTCCAGAATTAATATCACACCTCCCAAATATTCCTTTCGAATGTTCAATAAAATNACAAGCTGTAATAGTCGGCATATTTTTGAAATAAAGATTATTATTATTATTATTATTAAAGTGCTAGAAAAAATTCTTTCACTACAAATGCACATGGAAGATAATAATATACTTCCCATATATAATGAAAATGAAAACCATTATTTGTCAAAATTTGATTTATTATACGGGTATCAAGTTTTACAATAAGCTACCGAATACTTTCAAAAAATTTAATACACAAACATTCCCGATTTATTGTGTGTGTGTGTGTATAAATGTGTATGTGTATCTATGTATGTTTATATTCTTTCAAGTTTCAGTTCTGATTTATCTTTTTTTTAACTAATTTAATTTATGCTTGAGAGTGCTATACTATAGCGAAACACGTGTCGGAACAGATAAAATTAGATGACTATATCTCGGATTCTTTAGGCGTTCCACAGAGAAGTATTCTGGGACCGTAACTATATACTATTTACATAAGCAACTTCTCTCTTCATCTGACAAGCTGTAAATACCTTTTTAATGCAGATAACACACAGCTTCCTTTTGAATTTTGCAATCTAACGGAAGCAACGAACTGCATCAATTCTGACATAAATCAATTACTATCCCTCATGAATAATCATGCGTTAAAAATTATTTTAAATAAATCTGTGGCGCTCTCATTTGGCACTGACCAGGAGGTGAGCTTAGCAAAGAATATAATGACAATAAGGGTAGGAGGAGATAAGATTGAAATTGCTGATTATTGTAAGAATCTTGGACTGATTATGGACAATAAGTTACGATTCTAAAACCATATCACCTAAAAATTAAAAAATGCATATATATCACCGAAACCTATTCACAGTCAAATATACTTTTGAACTACAAATTGAAACCTAGTTGTGTGACAGTTTGGTTCTCTCGCACTTCAATCATTATGACATAGTTTATAGCCATGTATTGACAGTTCTGATATAAGAAGAGTACATAAGGTTCAAAATTCTCGTTTGAGAATTATATATGGAATAAGGAGTCCTATGTGTATTTCTCATGAATTAAAGGATGCTGGATTCTGGATTGCTTGGTATGTTTAATCCTCGGAAGCATCATATGGCATGTTTTTTCAAAAAAATTTGAAGAACTAAATTCCTCAATATTTTTTTCAAAAATTTGGAACTGATGTGCATCATTTGAACTTGTGATGGAAGAAGATGCTAAGTATACCCAAGCATAAAAAGAAGTATGTAAACAGTATTTTTCGTATTTTTCCTATAATATAGCGACTTTGGACGATATGCTAGATGTACCTAACTTTTTGTTGTCTTAGGATGCATTTAAATTTAGGTATAAACGATTTTTATTCAGTCAACAATAGTTTGTTGCCTGTACCATTTGATTATGATAATAAAATTTCACTCATCAACCATAAGTGGAGAATATTATTGGAGTGAAAAACAATCTTTACTTCCACGACTTCTTCAATAACTACCGCAGAATATATAGATCCACTATTAAGAGAGCGAAGGAAATCCATTATGATAACCAAATCGGTAAATCGACTAATAAAATGAAAGAAGCATGGTCTGCTATCAGTGACATCACGGGAAAATAAAAAAAAGACGTGGGAATAGATCGCAAAAAATCTTAGTGAGAATATAGTGGTACCTTACGATCCCTTAAAAATCTTGAAGATGTCAGAATTGAGGATAACCTAACATTGTATGATACAAGTATTAGTGAATTACTAGAAATTTTGAGGAATATAAAGAATAAAAATGCAACTGGATATGATGGAATCTCCATAAAAATTATTAAAAATCTTCCAATTGAGGCACTGCAAACATTGGTATCTCTAATCAACACCTCTTTCCACAATGGAATTTTTTCTGATTTTCTAAAAATATCCGTTGTCCTTCCATTATATAAAGGTGGAGATTCAGATGATCCCGCGAATCTTCGCCCGATCTCTCTCATTCCAAATATAGCCAAAGTTATCCAAAAACTTGTGAAAATACGTCTGACAATTTTCCTAAAACACCACAATATTTCAAGTGAAAGCCAGTTTGGTTTTCAAAGCAATAAAAACACGCACGATGCCATCTTTTCGTTTCTTTATGATATTTACTCCAAGTTTAATTCTGGTAGTGTAGCAGCTGCGGTCTTTTGTGATCTTTCTGAGGCGTTTGATTGCGTTTTGATCATAAGATCTTGCTAAGAAAAATTCACCAATACGGCTGCAGAGAAATGACGCTCAAATGGTTTGAATCTTACCTTTCAGGAAGAAGTCAAATGGTAAGAACAACAGGACTTTCAGAAGAAAAAAAAAATTGTGTGGTGTTCCACAAGGATCAGTTTTGGGACCCATCTTATTCTTATTATATTTCAATGACATTGCAAATTTGAGCATTTCAGGAAATTTCACTCTTTTCGCTGATGACACGAAGATATTGTGGAACAACAAAAACTCAAATGATTTACACAATGCAATATCTACTGATATGAAAACAATCAAGGACTGGTGTGATGCTAATTTGATATCCTTCAATATCACTAAAACAAACATTTTATCATTTAGATGTGCTCTTGATGACCTGTCATTCGGTTATAACTTAGTGATCAGGAACGAGACTCAATCTAAATTTCTAGGTATTCACATTGACAACAAGCTCAAATTTATCGAGCATATTAAACAAGTTAAAAGTAAAATTTTTTCTGGATGTTATGCAGCGAGAGTAACTTCAATAAATTTGGGAATCAAAACTGCCAGAACGGTGTATTGCGTCCTCGTTGAATCCCACCTACGTTATGGAATACCGTTTTGGGGAGTATGCAATTCATCAGCACTTCTCTCTGTATTAGTACTGCAGAAACGGACTATCAGGTATATGTGTAAAATTAAACCTCGTGATTCATGCAGACTCAAATTCGCTGAACAAAAGATTTTAACAGTGATTGCTTTGTTCATTTCGGAAACGGTTCGCCTCATTAATAATTTTAGTGGGTGATATTAATATTAATCTCCTGAATCCAAATTCTAACGATACTCAATCGTTCATTAATTTGCTTTCTCTTTTTGATATGTGTCAAATTGTAGAGAATCCCACTCGTATTACTAATACATCTGAAAGCCTCTTAGATGTCATCTGTATAAATAAGGAATTACTGGTAAGAAGTTTTAATACTATTGATATGAATGGTATTACAGACCACTTAATGGTCAGCTGTGTAACCAGCTTTCAACATGAACAATTACCTACTGATTCAATATACTTCAGAAGTTACAAAAACTTCGATTTCACTAATTTTCATAACGACGCTGCGAACATGCCATGGGGCAATATTGTTGATTTACAAAACATGAACTCTAAAGTAAACTTTTTAAATGATTGTATAATACATTTATTTGATAAACATGCTCCTATCCGCAGGTTGAATTGTAAAAAGAAATTTCTGCCTTACGTCACATACAACCTCAAGCTCATGATGCAAACCAGGGATAAAGCTCATAAAACATATTTAACTTTGAGAACACCGGCTTCNGTATATAAGTGTTGATAATATTTTTAAACAAGTCTGTACACAACCATGTTGTGTACATGTAACTCCAGTAATATTCATTACTACACCACTACACCAAAGGTTCCAAACAGTGCATCATAATTACATAAGTGGAGAACAAAATATTCCATTAAAGCTGATAAATGTATATTTATTCTTTTTTTTTTTTTTCGTTTGTGTATGTATTTATTAGCTTCTCAAAGGGACTGCGGAAAAATTTGCTGCAGAATCTGACGGTTCTCCTTTTGTTTACCTTCATTAGATATTTATGTATTGAAAAATTACTTTGTTTTTTTATATTTTGGTAAACAACAATGGTATTATTATGAAACACTTAGAGTACTTGGTTCGTTTCCCCATCACTTTCAATAATGTCTCCCGCAATTGTAAAACAAACATCAAGCATAAAAACTTACAGACCACGAACAACAAATTTGGAAAATAGCTTTTACACAGGCATCTCTTGCCGTAAAAATTTACACTCTTTCAATCAATAAGTGTTATTTTTTCTAATATAGGTAATTGATGATATGAAAATTGGCAAATATCTACATTTTTTGTATCGGTAATTATTAGACACACATTACATCATCATTACTACATTTGAAAATATTCTTTACAATAATCTTACTTTATTTTCGCTATATAGGTGCAGCTAAATGTACTACTGCAATCTATCTAGCTTAAAATGGAGTTGTTACCTGTTGGGTGTTATTGGTTTATTCTTCTCACACTGTTGTTTCTCGTATTCAGCACACATGTTCAAAATTTCTTCCAGTCTTTGCTGTTCTGCTTTTTCAATTTCTTGCTCTTTTATCCGATCTTGTTGCGCCTAGAAAGAGAATATAAACTGAATACCTACTAATATAAATGATATTCTTTATGTGGCTGGTTTATCTTGAATTGGGTTATCTAAACAAGCTACAATGTGAACAGCTGGAGTCAAAGAGAAACACAAATATGTTGAAACACCAAACCACAGAAAATAGCTGATTATTGACTTTTATAGATTAGAATATTTACTTTGAATACCTCATTTGCAGATAAGAATGTTTTGATATGGTAATTGGTTGCGTGGAAAGCTGTCATGAATTATTTCAACTTCCCAATGATAGATGGACCATGCATCCATTTTATACACAAAAAAATAATAAGTATTTTAAAGTTGTTGATTCTGTAAAAGTGTAAGAAAATGTCATGCATTTTTCTATGAAACCGTTTATTCTCATAAAACTTTACACATAAGTATAAGAAAAAAATCATCCTTAGAGGTGAAGAAGAAAAGAAAATCAACTTTTCTAGACGTACTTGTTACTAGAATTCACAGTTTAACGAATATCGACCCAGGCCAAAAGATAGAAAATAAACATAAACTGTATGTATGGTGGGGGATTTATAGAAGATATAACATGTAATGTATTAGTACACTTAGAAAGGTTACAGTGAGAATGGACTGCTTATTCAAAATATTTGACATAACAGCCGCTTACCAGCCAGAACAATCAAGTATTGTGTGAGAATACCAATAGATAGAGAGAAGCTACTGTCTTGTCTAGGGGATATATTTGATACTATGCATAACAAGTGTCACTGTATCTCCACTACGAGCACTTCCAAGTTTTGACAACTACATCTGCATATCATGTCAGTTTGTACAAGTTTGTACAGTTTGTACATTTACTACATTAACATCCATAAGACGGAGAACAATTCATATGGTATACTATTAGACTCTCTTGCAGAAGATAATGTTTAGTGAAACAAGTGTTGCAGTTGTGTGAAAATCTCATCTGATTAAAAGACTCATCAGCCGAGCCCCAGGTAGTAATTAACTAGGCGCAAGTAATAGGCCCCCATGACAAGGATATAAATACAATTTCAAGGAAGGAAAAACCAGTCTTTGTACACCTTTCTGATAATGCGAACTACACAGTCATATTTGCATTTTATGTACTCAATTATTAGCATAGTTAACATTATCATTATTCACTAACTGATCAATAAAGGGAAATTTTTTTTGGCTTCAACTCGACTTTTCGGTTTTGAATTTTTATATTTTTTTTTATAAAAAATGAGTGTGCAGCTTTTGTAGGAAATTTAATTTGCTACAAAAAAGTTCATCTGATCAAACACTCTTTTCAATCAACAGTTTTTGAGTTGTAGAGCTGGAAAGGTGAATGTTAATTGAAACCAAATTTTCTTGAAATTGTGAATTTTCAATCTTACAAAAAGTAACATTTACAATAGAGGCTGTGAAGTTATAACATTGTTATTTATAGACTATAATTTCCATTTAGTGAATAAATATAAACTCATGTACGAGTACAAAATGTTAAAATGACTAATTTTTTTTTCATTTATGAATCGGTGGCAACAATAATGTTTGCTTATTAGCATTCGGAAATTGCTTTATATGTATTTCTACAACTTGTAATAAGTTTTGTTCCTGTTCCTCCTCGTTCATCAGTATTATTTACGACACGTACATTGTTTTAAATTATTAAGCATCTTTATCAGATTTTCATTAATCGGGATGTAATTTTAGAAATTCAGTAGGAAGTTGAAATCGCTCAAATCATACAAATTTTTAGTAATGAAGGAGTCAAATTAAATTTGTAGTTTCGCTAGCTTTCTGATTAATTGATTGAATAATTTCAATTTTGATTTCTGAGCTCACATTATCATCGAGAAATGATAAATCTATGAGTTCTTCAGAATCATGCTTATACATTCAATGGTGTTATAAAAATACAGGTAATCACGCAATAAATGGCTATCGAAAACCATAGTGAATGATGTATCAGTCCACGATCATTAAAAGTAGTGTTTTCTGTGAAACGGTTTCCCAAATACACTGTCCCTGGTTCGAGTAAGGATAGAAGAAGTTTGAATTTCAGTTCATTGAGATTACGATTTCATTGTAACTATGGATTAAAATGTATATATACAAAATGCCGTTTCTAAAATTAACCATTCCATGAATTTATTGTGAATAATATTTATGTAATATCAAAATTTCCATGTTAAAGAACATTTGGTATCACATTATTAACATTCCAAATAGGGTAGGTCACTTTCAGAAGGGGTGCATTTCAGGGTAATTCCCTCAGTCCCCTTTCTCTTCTACATTTCACAATTGCCATTATTCGTTGTGCCCAGAAATACTCAAAGGTAAAACTTTAAACGTTCAAGTTCAATGTTTAAAGTTTATTTCTTTAGATTTGTTTACTGCCAGTATTCAAGCATAGCCCACTGACTAATAAGAACGTTTTTCTTCCTTATTCAGATTAATCAAGCAAATTTCGGATATGCAGTTGGTTGGTACCTCGTCCACTAGATGGAGTGACATTTTGTTGTTCGCTCCAACATAGGAAGAGGAATGAAATACTCTGAAAGAATTCCGATTTTCAATTATGGAATATCATTGACTGTAGGTCGATGATCTGTTAGTTTGAAATCTGTTTTTCCGTTAATCTGTCACTATCTTGCAGTGACGAGTGGCTAATGAGCCCGAAACCGGTCTGCAAGTGTGCCCGTTCGAAAATTGAAGGTCGACTCTTTCAGTTGTATTGTCAATTGCATATGCAGGAAATTGTCTGTGAAGATTCCTGCACTGACGCCTGTCAGATATAATCCAACGCCCTTCGTAGTATTAGCCAGGGTAGTAGTTGTTTTCTGATAGGCGTCAGTCCATGCAACCTACTGTGTAGGTATATCTGAGACTGGCTTGAACGTTTAAAGTTCATTTCTTTAGATTTTCTAACGTAAGCATTGAATTTATATAATCATCTTTTTCATTTTTATGTAATAATTTTTGGTATACTACACACTTTTATATTCGTCAATATTTCTTAGCTTTTCTTATAACAGAACTGACCTGATTCCTTTTCAACTCTGCTTCGTATTTTCTGTGAGCAAGATCTTCATATCCATCCATGTAATTGGTGAGTTCGCCAAGTGACCCACTTCGCCTATGGTCAATTTTTTGAATATTAGAAATTGGACTGGGCGTTATGCTTCTCAAAAACCCTCCAGGAGTTCTATTGAAACTAGGAGAAGGAGTATTGCCCCTATTGATGTTAATATTTTTGTTAGCATTCGAGGATTTATTATTCAGTTCGTTATGATCAAAATTGACATTTTGACTTTTAGGAATGCATCCGTTTTCGAAAATAATAACTCTATTGTTTATATTTTTAGTTTCGTTGACTGTAACATTAACATACTGACTTTGATGATGGGTTTTCTTTGATAAAAGTTGTTGACCTGGAATTTTCACTTGATGCTTCTCGTTGGAGTTCAGTTCTGCATAGTTGAGGGCACTTTGCGGTAAGTTTTTAGTGAAGCTATTCAAGTCTGGTGGTGCTTTGCCTAAAACGTCTTTTATTGGAGTGTTTACGGTAACAACGTTCGATGGGAACACTTTGGGCGATATCGACTTTTTGTAGTTTTGTGCTGCCAGATATTCAAATTTTGAGACTTTGGTCATTATACTAGATGGGGGTTCGTCACTGCTACTATCGGAAAAAGACTCCCTTGGGCTTTTCCGAGGCGCGACTGGAGGCTTCTTGTTGAATTTCGTCTGGTAGGAGTTGTCGGGTTCGAAATTTATTGGAGCCATAGATATTCTTGGGTTAGGTAGAACAGATTTAATGAGTTTTGCTTCGGCAGGGTGATTAAATCTCAAGTAGTTCGATCTTCCTATGGTGAGCATAACACCTGAAAATGAAAAAAAGACTAAAATATTTTACATACATTATTTATTAAGGGCTATTTTGAAAAAAAAAAGTACAATGAAATTGCATTTCATTCCGATAAACATACAGTTACATAGACATACTTGGAGACTGTTTTATTGGCCCTTTCAACATGTGACAGCATATCCAATCTATACTCCAAACGACACAGATTATAGATGATTTACCAATGGTTTTACAACTTAACTATGGTCGGTAAAAAATTATTTGGCAGGGGCCGTTTCAAACTATAACTATATTGCTCCGATTAATTGGCCAGCAATATAACCAAACGCAGCTCCAGAATTAAATACAAAGAATGTTCAATTAGTATCATAATATAGAAAAAGATATTCAATCCTGGCCTCGGGTAGGTATGTATAGCTGTCTTCATAGCGACAAATAGAAATTTCAATTTTAGAAATGCGTTCAAATATACTTATGTGAAAACAAATGAAATGAAAGAGATGTAAAATGTTTGCTTCAGAGAAAATTATTACCATGTGCGATTTTGTAAATATAATATACCAGCAAATGCTCCTCAGCATGAAACTATTCAGTAAATTACCATGCTGTGTAGAGCACAGGCCTAGAGATATAAAGAGATTCATACGAAATCTCTAAAAAATGTATTATAATTTCTTCGAGTTTTATGATAAACCCTCGAATCATTCAAGTAACTGTTTGTAGTTCTAGTTTAGATATAAGGTTAAGTGTGTGACTATTCTCATACAAATTTATTTGTCGAAAAAAAAAAAAAAACTACCACTACTACTATAAGCAACAAAAAGCTATGAGTGTGCAAGGATCATTAATTTCATATATGAGAATAAGAAAATCATCAGTTACATTATGGATAATCATCAAAGCCATCTCTTGTAGACAATTTCATGACCGAATTTGAAAAACTATTAAGCAACATCCTATGTTCAAAATATTGATATAGATATGTTGACGATATTAGGGCTTGGTTCACAGGAACACATTGATAATTACCGTCGTATCTTCAATACATTAACTCTATTGACAAAACTTTTTAGACCTCAAATTACCAAAATTAACAAATATGATTTCGCAATTTACCACAAACCAATCTATACAGATACAATTATCAACAATCATTTTAATCACCCTCATTAAGATGAATGAACGGCTTACCATAACATGATTTGATTTGAACTTTAATTCACATACTTAACCAAAAATTATTCAAATAGGCCATCAACCAAATATATCCTGACATTAAAAATACACAAACATATACAAAACACATAATATTGGAAACTCATTAGAGAAAATAAAAAAACTATTAATTAAACAGAATATTACCAAAGTACATACGATTACAAAGATAGGTAAACATATGAAGAACAAGTCATACTCTGACAAGGATAACAAATCAGACACCCGATTTGTATCCAGGCATGTTAATCATACCGAAAAGTTTATAAAGTTTTATATAGGAAGAACGTCTGAAAATTTCAAAGCGAGAATTTCAGAACATGAAAGAAGTCTTAAATATCCTATTGAACAACCAACAATAACTTAATCATCACTTTTTATCAAAATCTTCAAGTTTTCTTGGTATCAAACTATTGAAATTAATTTGGCTCATTAAATTGCTGTTGTAGAATAGTTCAATGTAGTAATTCAACTGAGGAAGCTAGCGTGTAATGATACGCGTCTTGAGTGATGTTCATAATGTGAAAATTGTTTAATATTGTCATGGATGGTGTTATTCATTTTCATCAAGTAACCTAACCTATCAGTGTATTCATAATTTAGATATGAAATCTTTAAATGAAACATGGCAGCACACGAGTTTTTAATTTTTCTTTACCTTGGGATAAACGTGTTGGACTCGTAACTTTCACCCCATCAATAGACAGATTCTCAGAAAGAGGATATATAGTAACGATTCCCTCACTGTTTTCGATATGGCAGTGCAAAGGAAGAACACCAGTTCCTTGGACATGGATGTCTGCTCGAGGACCGCTGCCTAGCGTTACACGACCTGAAAAAAAAAGCATTTCCATATATCGCTACTCAAATTTCACCTCATTTATACACAATGTTCAAACAACAGGGTTAAATATAAATAATTTTTGGGACCCATATTTTTTTGTAGAAACTGTTGCATTTTTGAGTACTGAGAAGAAGTTATTTTGATTTAGCACTTTTTTGATAAAAAAAAATTGAAGCAACTTGTGTGCGGTAATTTCTATGCATGTCGACATCTACCATTGAGTTGATTAATATATTGTGTTGAACACCATTATTTTTATATTGCATTTGTGATTTTGATTTTTTGTGGTCTTTTCATTCAATATTTTGAGTATGTACACCATTATTTTTATACTGCATTTGTAATCTTGATTTTTTTGTGGTCTTTTCGTTCAATACTTTGAGTATGGGCTTTATGTTTCAAAGTTGAATGAAAAACGCTTTTTCCACGCCAGAAAAAAACACGGTTATCATTATCAGTAGATGATGAAAGTTAAGCATATTTATATATCAGTACCCCGCGTAACGAGGTTCCCGAAATGAGCTTATAGTATTGTATTGTACATTTTTTAAAAACAATTCAAAAATCAAAATCTGTGATATACACCATGAACTAATGTATCCCAATTTCACTGCAAATATCAAAGAATATTATGAGAAAACTTGAAAAAATTCTCACGTTTCATGGCATTTTTCTGTGCAAAAGTGTCCGTTTACTCAAACTATCTCTCAAAATATACATGATCACCCTCTCTTTCATACGAAGGATACATAAAAATGAATAATTACATTCACAATATAAAAAAACACTTCTTTATGAAGGAAAAAAATATTTTAATATTCTTTCAGTTTGCTGATTTTTAAATTGAAAAGTTCCCAAAACCGCAACACGTGTTTCGCTATAAAATAGCTTCCTGAGGTAGGAACGTTTGATTAACCCTTCCTGATGACAATTACAGTAAACTGTTTCATCAAGTATAGCCAGATTCTTTCAATCCTAAAAAATGATGAAACATAAAACTGGTTGTAAAGTTTTTGGAAAAGAATAGTTTTGACATTTTACTTCTCCATCTTCGGGAAAATTTTACTTCATAGGATACTCACAGATTTTCGCAATTTTTTGATGGTAGGAATTCAGAACAATTGTCGAACTCGATTAGTTTTTGAGATAAAACCTGTAAAAGTATCAAAATGATGACGTTTTTTTTCAGAGCTGACATTTTGAATATGGAGATAAAGAGAACAACCGAACAAAAAAATGACAGCCGCTTTCTGTGTATGAAATGTATTGACTTTGACATTTAGAAATTTCGTTTAAAAATTTTACGGGGTTCACACGGATTTTCGCGATTTTCTCTTTGATGATATTACATGATGGTAGAAATTCAGAACACTAATTTTTTCTGGCTCAATTAGTTTTGGAAATATAACCTATCAAAGTCTTAAGTTGGGGCGAACATCTAGTAAACGAGGTAATAATCAACTGCATATCTGAATGAAATACTCTGGAAAAACTTCGATTTTCAATTATGGAATATCATTGACTTTAGGTCGATGATAGTCACTATCTTGCATTGACGAGTGGCTAAGGAGCCCGAAACCGGTCTGCAAGTGAGCCCGTTCCAAAATTGAAGGTCGACTGTTTCAGCTGTATTACCAATTGCATAAATATGCAGGAAATTTTCTGTGAAGATTCCTGCACTGACGCCTGTCGGATATAATCCAACGCCGTTCGTGGTATTAGCCAGTGAAGTAGATATTTTCTGATAGGCTTCAGTCCATTCAACCTACTGTGTAGGTATATCCGAGACGGGCTTAAACATTCAAAGTTTATTTATTTAGAAAACATGTTATTAGTTATAGTCAATTTGACTTGTCAACGTTTCTACATAATTTCATAAATTTAATGTTGTTCCTACTCTCGACATTATTGATGCTGCTGACTGTCTGATGCGGATTGACTAGTAATTGAATTTGTAATGAATTATCGAATATTTCAAACATAATTATAATTGATAATTTCTAATTCTGTGTGAAGGCCATCAGCCTAAGCATGTAAGCCTTCATCGTGTCAAAATAAAAACAAATTGTTTCAGCAACAGATGTCATTCTTTAAAATAGATTCAATTGAGTGTTCCCAATGATGTAAAGTGATATTAATTGTATGCAGTTGTGTTGAATTAAATTTAACAGGGAATATGCCGAACCGTGTGACCATATAATGAGCTTGTTCCTCGTAGAATACTAAATATGCTCGAGTTGAAAATCTGGTTATTGCGTATTAGATTTGAATGAATTTTTTCATGGAGAGATTATCCTCTGAGAATATCAATGAGCTCAGCTCAAAATTAATTCTTCTTGAAGACCATCCATTCAACACAATAAAGATAAAAATCCAGTGTCGGATAGATTGGTAGTATAGTCGTACAAGTTGACATGTGGTTCTTGTTCTAAATTTTATATTCGCAAAACCGGAAGAACTTTCTCCAAATGAATAGAAGTAGTTTTTTGAATGTGAAAACCATTTTTTGACTGCGCTTGACAGTTAAGCTACGTCAGTTTACTTGGGAATGGTTTAATAAACCGAAACCAATGAAACTCGCAGTTGAAATTAGGCAAAAGTTGTCTATCTTATATTTAATATGAATTTCCACAAAATGAACAAATCATTTTACGAACTTTCCGTTATCAATGAAAAATTCCAGTGAACACAAATATTATTGATATCCATCTATTCTGAATTTTAATTTTCTCATGCATAAGTATGTACTGTACGTACAATTTCTACAAAAAAATTGAGAATATATAAAGTGTAAAAAAGCTCATGTATGTATTGTGTGTGTATTATAGTCAAAACTATTTATTGATTAGTGAACTGTTTAAAATAGAACCGTTGCGTTTGTGAAGAGCGATGGTTTTTAAGGTACTATGAATATTGCCCTGATTGTTGCCATTCATTGCCCTGAAGAAACAGTGATCAATCAAAACTGGTTAAAAAACCTATTCGTCCAGTAATTTGAATCAACGTTATCAGACCATAATGCTGTAACGCTTCTTGAATTCAATTAATAATCATCCTATACGGAAATTAGATGGAATTGAAAATTACTTCATTTGGTTTGCAGAGGAATCAATCAACCATTTTCTTTGAAGACGAATCAAGAGAATGTTGTTGTGGCAATATTGAATCTGTCGATATAAGGGCAACCACCAAACTTCTTTCAGCAGTGCTCGTATTTTGTAGTATAAATAAACGGTTTAAAAATTTTATAAACTTTTCGGATCCGGAATAAGTATCAAGTTTGAGCTGGAGCTATCGTTGAACAAGCAGGATTAAAATACATCCCTGGCAACGTTAGTTAACTTTTAGTTTATCAGTGAATTCCATAAATGTTTTCAAAAGTTAACCTGTTCCACCCTATATATAAACATTTCCTTATAATAATAATAATGATAATAATAGATTTTCTCTTAGAACTCCGCAGGCTCTATCCAGATCACCCTGTCAAGATGGTTGTTCTGATTATTGGAGTCCTTGGTTGAATGATGTCCTCTCTACTCTCGAATGTTAAAATCATACCGCCTTGCCGCAGTAAGACAGAAATCTTAGCCGCACAGATGCAGAAGGCTGTTATTCTTGGCTTACTGCGCTTGCTCAGGGCACATGATTCTCGGACCCAATGATCACTCACCCCACGGTGTGGGGAGTGGTCATTGGTTGATAATGCTGGCGCGCCCTCCCGAATGTATCGGGGCTTCGGGGGATAGCGCCTGACCAGCGCACACTACGGTGAAAAAAAAATAATAGTCTTTATTGTTTCCCAGCTGAAATTACATACAAATATTTACATAAATTACAGAGCTAGTTGCTGATATAACAAAAGGCAAAGTTCAACTTAGCACAATGCTACTGAGTTGTCCTAACTGAGTTGTTCTCCTACTCATTGTCAGCAAACTGAGTATGTACATAATGAGGGTGGAGAAGGTTTACTAGTGAAATAATAATTTGAAATGAAGAAATGGTGAAATTTTACTAAGGAACTGAAAGTTTGCCAAAATTGTCATAACGTTGGTTTACCTATAACATATTCTACCGTGACAAAATGTATCTCAAATAACTTGAGCCAGATGCCTTTAAATGACACCCAAGTTGAAAATATCAAAATTTTTCTCAAAGGTCAGTTTTAATGAATGTTAATGCCGAACCCATACACTTCGCACTTGCTGCCTCTACAAACGTTTGGCTAAATTTGAGGTATCAAACATCGCCATCCACACGCTTGGGACTGCATTAGTATGTTCTGACACTAGATTGTGCTTGTGCCGGCTATATCGTTAGTTTTCTGTACTTAAATCTGAGCTAGAAAAAAAAGGGGAAGATAGTAGTAGAATGAGAAATGGTATGACTGCCTCTCGTCGCTATCTCTTTATCAGCAGAATACTTCCTGTGAAAGTATCTATAAAAGAACTTGTGTAGTTTAGGTTTTCAATCAAACGAATGGTCGTTTTCGTATATGTGAACAAAGGTATAATTTTAGCTTCACAAAGTAATGAAATTTCTAGAGGCCTGTTTATCTGCTTTGTTTGAAATCTTGTTTCAAGTATTCTGAGAAGGTGCTATTGCTATTCCAGAAATGTAGTTGTTTAAAGACATATTGCTTTCCAATTCAAGATTATTATTCGATGATGCGGGCAATATCTTGTTCTCTGGCAATGGTATACAGGATGTTAATTGAGCATGTACCATAAATTTAACAGACGATTCTCTAGGTTATTTTAAGACGAAATGTTCATATAAATATGGGTCCGCAAATCCTTCGTTCTCAAGATACAGGGTGTTGAAATAAAAAAAAAGTTATTCGTAAATATCTTAAATATCCTTCACCTAATTTTGTTCTAATGTGGCAATGGTATTTATAACATTAAGGAGCTAATTTAGCCCGAACGTGTTTCAATTTATCAAGTCCAGTGGCGTCTCGAGCGGGATTTGAACGAATATCTTCAACTCAA